CAGCCCTTTCAGAAGTATTTAGAGAAGAAGGAAACTCTAGATCTAGATCTATAGTTGGAGCTGGTGCAATTATTGGTGGGTGTGGAATAAATAAAGGCTCAGATTCCCTGCTGCCCCCATTTATATTAGTTAATTGACTACCACCTCCCTTTTCAACATTCACATGTTGGCCAACATGCCCCACATCCTCAAAATTAGAGTCATTGCAGATAAATATATCTATTGTGTCCCCATCATTCAACAATACTCCAAGGTCTAACAAATTCTTGTCTTTCTCTAGTTTTACCAATTTGCCACCCTTAGAAGGTGCAATATAAGTGGTTCCCAATTTAGTAACCCCAAAATCCTTTGCAATATCTACTAATTCAGGGATAGATAAGTGATCAGAATCAATATTGAAGGAATACTCAATCCTACCTCCAACAAAAACAGGCCCTACTTCACTTACCAACATTACACCAATTTTCCATATAAAATTAAAGTACTTAGAAGCCATGGGACAACCTACAACCATATACAGAATTCATCAATATTTAACTTTTAAAATTAATAGTACAATGTTGTAACATATTAAAGAAATGCTAGATACAAATAAAATACAGAAAAAGACTCACTTTTACATAAAATAATCCACCAACAGTGAGCTAAACTAAAATAGCAAAAGAATTCTTGCAATACATTCAAAATAACTAAAATAACCCGAATAACATACATTCAGACAATTCTAAAATATAAAAATAAAAAAAACCCTAAATTTTGTAAGTTATTACAGAAAACCCTACGCTATATGCATGCACAAAATCACTGATTTTACACATAAAAAATTAAATTTTGAAAGCCTTAACTCAACAAAATAGAAGATAGAAAGCAAATCGATATTGTTCTCTGTTATAAATTACAAAACCCTAATCGGAAAGTAAAGCTTGAATTCCCTAACCTTTTGGTTTTGTCTGTTTGAAATAGTTGGAGAAGACCACTGAAAAAGCTTGATGAACGGAGAAGAAACCACAAATGATCAGAAATACACCACAATTGAAGTCTTATTCTACTCTATTGAAGAGGCATTGGAAGAGGCATTTGAGAAATTTTTCAATAGAGAGAGAAGGGTGTTCATAAAAATGAAAGGGCAAATGTTTTACTTCTAACGTTGCTGCCTTTTACCTTTTCTTTATTTTTCCCCTTTTTTTTTCTTTAGTTATTAATATTAAAATTTAATACTCATTTTATTTGCCTTCGTGGAGTACAAATTGTCCACATGTACCGCGCGTGTATACACTTAACTAGGTGTAGGAGACTCGGGGGTTTTTAAATTCACTTATTCTAGTGTAGTGGGGGTAATTCGAACCAGAGATAGTTTGGAGAGAAAATTAATAATTCTGACAAGTTTAGGGGGTACTAAGGCATTTTGCCAAAATAGTACAACATTCTTCTTAAGGAGTGTTATTAATGAAGTGCTATTATATTGTACAGATTAAAAAATTGTAAAGCACTATTACCATAGAAAGTTCGGGTAAATATTAGTTCTGAAAAGGCTTACTCTATTTCCAGTCTGATGCTGCTTTTTCATGTGCTCCAGATACTCTAAATACAATCAAGTAAAATATATCAACACAATTCCAAGAAAATAATGACACTTGTAATCAAATTGACAATGAATAATCCAGCAGTGAGAATTAGCTAATCAGAATTTTCAATATTTTATAATGGATGGAAGGATTAAAATTACTATCTAACCAAACCTCAATTCCTATTCACCTCACTTGTTCTTTATTGGTTGCTTGGTATCACCATAGCTAACATTCGACATCGTGACGGGTACCAAATATTAATACCCTTTTAAAGTTTTTATCAACTTCTAGAAAGGCAAGAAGTATAAAAATACTCGATAGATTCTGCAATTACAGGTCAAACAAAACACTGCTAGCCCACAAACAATTCGTGCAGAACTTGTCGCGATAAAATCAGACCGCTACTTGACAAAAAAATATGAAAGACATATGGTTCCATAAGGAATTTTGGTTGAGATTGCGGAGAAGAGATGACAACATTATTACTTAAACACTAAGAAAACATCATCTATCTGACGAAGTTCGCTCAAGTTATTATGTTGTCTTATTCTAGCGATTTTAATTTCCTTATGAATAATACACTAATGTACCCATAAAGGTACCACCCACTCCTTTTATATACCATAAATATGGTAATTCCAGTAAACGAAATACTATGACTATCAGTATCATGACTATCGCTATCTATAATCAGGAACAACTTTAGTTTAAGTCATTATCTTACCTCTTAAAATGAGCTGTCTGCAGTTCACTATCAAGCAGACCATGCTTTTGAAGACAGCACAACTTATTATTCATGCTGCATAAAATGCAGAGCGAGCCAGTGAGTCCATCTCCCGCATTAACAATATTTAATAAAACTACTTAGCTTTAGAAGCCACATATCACGAGAACAATCAGAACAAAAAATCATATATTATTTATGCCATGAAAATAGAGGTGCAAGCAAAGAGCTTAGATATCACAAGTACTGGATTTAGTCACCATTAAGTTGACAAACACAATACAAGGATTGTCTGTATACACATTTTACTTCCCTAGATATCAAGTGAAACAAAGAGAAAATCAATGAAATTAATAATCTACACCTTAATGTAAATACATCTCCAGACAGAGAATTATTTGTATTCATTTTCTTTTCAGAAAAAGCTCTATTTTTATATTCAAATATTTGGAAACTTCCCCAATAAAGGATACACTGCATTTTTCACTGTCATAGGTATAGTTGCCAAATTATATTTTAAGAGTCCTATATTTGTGTTATAAGGAGATCTGTTTATGATATAAACCACCTACCGGAAAAGAAATAGAATAGGAAATTATTCAATTGTTTCAGGCATATCGTTAATGTCACGATCCGTATTTTTCCACTCTCGGGAGTCGTGATGGCGCCTACTCGTAGAAGCTAGGCAAGCCAAATTTAATTGCCTTTCGTTTACAACGTAGTCCCTTTTATCAATTTATGGCAACAATATCAAAATAACGAAATTTAATAGTAGCGAAAATCTTAATTATAGAAACTGAATCAAAATGCGGAATAGTCAATATAAGCCTTTACCCAAGACTGGTGTCACAATACTCACGAACTGCTAAGAAATACTAAATACAAATGTCTGAAAGAACACATAAGCTGTTTGTCTCGAATACAAAGAGGCAACAGACTAAAAAAAAGAGAATAAGGGAGACGCCGGGCCTGCGGACGCCTGCAAGGCTACCTCGGGTCTCGCTGGACTGAAGGCCTGCTCCCGTACTAATGCTAATGCTGCTGCTGCTGCTGCTGCTGCTCGAAACCTGGACCTGTGCAAATAGCACAGAGTGTAGCATCAGCACAACCGACCCCATGTGCTGGTAAGTGTCTAGCCTAACCCCGGCGAAGTAGTGACGAGGCTAGACTGGACTACCACATAAACCTGTACAATTATATATATATACAGCGGAATCGAAAATACAAGACAAGTAAACAATATGGGAGGGGGAGCATGCTGTGGGAAGTTAACAATAATAATAGTAAATCCAGAATAACAATCTAAGGGCAGCTTGGAATTTACAGCGGACAAGAAACAAATACCCAAATAAACACACTTGTATCAATAATTGTTGCGGCGCAAAACCCGATCCCAATATATAACAACACTGTTGCGGCGTGCAACCCGATCCATAAATATCATTGTTGCGGCGTGCAACCCGATCCATAACATTTAACATTGTTGCGGCGTGCAACCCGATCCATATCATTTAACATTGTTGCGGCGCGCAACCCGATCCACAAATATCATTCAATGCACATCACTTTTTGTGCTTTAACACTCTTCCTCACCCAATCAACAATCACAGACAAAGGGGTAAGGGAATTAACAGTTCATAATAGAAGTCCCAGCAAGGGAACACAATGAAACCCGGCAAGGGAGCAACTCAGTAACTCATTCTCTTCTTTCACTTTCATCTCGAAATTTACATTATCACTTGAGCCAATGCTCCAAAGATTTACTTATCTCATATAACTCTCAATTTGTATTCCAACTCGAGCCAACGCTCCACGAAATTAAATAGCACAATTTCCTTTCTCACACCCTTTACAACATATAGAAGTCATCAACCAAACATGGAAGTTATAACCAAAGCAAAAATATCCGCAACACAAGGACTCACGGTCGTGCTAGACACCAATGTATAGAAACTCGTCACCATACCTATACATCGTACTCGATCAATTAGCAAGTAGCAAACAAGACTCAACTCCTATTCCCTCAAGCTAGGGTTAAACCAAACACTTACCTCCACTTCCACGGCCAAATCAATCCACAACAACCGCTTTCCCTCTCGAATTCGGCTCCAACTCAATCAAATCTATACAATAATGACTTCATAATATCAATATATGCTAAACAAATCAAATCCAATGTCTAATTATAGGTATCCAAGCTTTCTTCCCAAAAATTCCAAAATCGCCCCTGGGCCCGCTTGGTCAAAACACGAGGTTCGGACCAAAATCAAATCCCCCATTCACCCACGAGCCCGAATATATAATTTGTTCTCAAATTCGACCCCAAAACGAGGTCTAAATCAAGAAAAAGTAAAAAGCCGTAATTCTACCCATTTCCCCCAATTTCTACCCTAAATTACATGTTTTAGGCTTAGGAATTCATTGGATATTGATGAAAAATGAAGAAAACGAGTTGGGATTTACTAACCCAAGAGGTCTTGATGAAAGGAAGCTTCAATGGATGCCTAAGGACCTTGGAGAAGAAGAAACTCGGATGTTTTTATGAAGAAGTCGCGACCACACTGTTCTGAAAATTAAATATAACTGGGCAAAAATTGCCCTTCGCGTTCGCGGAAATGGAGTCGCGTTCGCGAACGGTTGACTCAACTGAACATCGCGTTCGCGATAGGGAAGGATGCGAACGCGAAGAGAAAAGGCTGGGGGTCCAGGATTTAGGTCTACGTGAACGCGTGGACACGTACGCGAACGCGGTAAAGGAAGTTTCAAGGCTACGCGTTCGCGAGTGATGGTATGCGAACGCGAAGAGGAAAAATTTCCCCAGGGTCAATTAACTCTATGCGAACGCGAGTGTGCTGACGCGAACACGAAGGAGGATGAAGCTGAAGCTTTGCGAACGCGTGGGATTTATCGCGAACGCGAAGAAGAAAATGAGTTCTGCAACAGCTGAAGCAAACCTGCACTTTTCCTAAGTCAAAAACCATCCCGAAACACCTCCGAAACACTCCCGAGCCCTCGGGGCTCCTAACCAAACATGCACACTAACTCAACAACCTCCTACGAACTTAACCGTGCGATCAAATCGCCAAAATGACATCAAAAACAACGAATCAAACCTCAAAATCACAAGTTTTTCTTCAAACTTCATAAACTTTCAAATTTAGAGCTTATAGTCCGAAACACAACAAAAGACGTCTGATTTCAACCAAACTTTACAGAAAGCGCTTAAACCATATATAAGACTTGTACTGGGCGCCGGAACCAAAATACGGGCCCGATACCATAGTCTTTTAATCAAATTTTATTTCCACTTTCCTTAATTATTTTAAGAAAACAATTTCACACAAAAATTCATTTCTCGGACTTGGGACCTCGGAATCCGATTCCGGACATACGCCCAAGTCCCATATTTTCCTACGGACCCTCCGGGACCGTTAAGTCACGGGTCCGGGTCCGTTTGGCCAAAATGTTGACCGAAGTCAAATTTAATCAATTTAATATCAAAATTTAGCATTTTTCACACAGAATTCATATTTAAGCTTTTCGGCTACGCGCCCAGACTGCGCACGCAAATCGAGGCAACCCTAAATGAGGTTTTCAAGCCTTCAGAAGCACAGAATGAATAGGAAAACAGGTGATGACCCTATGGGTCGTCACAGTTAAATACCTTAACAACATCAAAGTTCTTTCCTTTTTAGGCTTTTTTGTCTAGATGGTAATTCAATGTGCGTAGTGTGTTGCAATTTGTGCACCTGAGAAGAAAATTTAATGCGTTTGAACAAAACCAACCACATGGTTACTCAGAATTCACCCAAAAGAAATTTGATAAAAGAGGAAGAATACATTTAAATCAAGAATCCAAAATCTTATACATTGAATTAAACAAATAAAGCACAAATCAAACAAAAATTTATAGTAAATGAAGATTTTTAATCAATAGTATATAAAAGATAGAACGAAAGAATTACAGCTCACCACGAAAGGTTAGAGGAAAATTTAGGAGAATTTAGAAATATTCTCTACTCCATTTTCATGCTTTTTGCATTTTGGAGTGTGTCTGTAGCTGCACGAGACAGAACTTCCGGATGATAATTAAACAACACAAAGCAACAAATTTGAGCGCCAAAGAAAAGACAGAGATAACAACATGAAAAAGGGCCAAAAATAAAGGTGAATACCAAAGACAAAATACTCACTAAAACACTGCAAAAACTCCATTGGAAAGATCACCGAACAAAGAAAGGGATCAAGTAAGAAGACAGTAAACTGGTAAAGGAGTTCAGTGAGAGAGAAAGAGAGGGGAGAAGCAGAGAAGGCGGCGAAGAGACGGGTAAATTAGTAAAGAAGTTCGGTGAGAGAAAAGAGAGTACTATATTTCAAGTACACGTGTTTGCTTTAAGTACACGTGTCATGAAGATTCAGTAGAAACCGTGTACAACTTTTACTACTTTCTGTATCATTGCTAAAACTAGAAGGTGAAGCACGGGCCTAGCATGGGAATGACTCCTGTAATGTTTACTCTTCGTTATAACTTGTATAGTATCCAACTCAACGACATGCAGATAATTCTAAACTGATTTAGCATAAGTATACTTAGCACAAGACCACTACAATATGCGCTTAACAACATCCTTTTATATACCATAATTACACTGTCTAGCGGAACCATCCACATTTAAATATTTTATACACTATACTACACAGTTTGTATCTTCAGTGAATCATGTGTTCCCAACCTTAGTAGCCAATCTTTTTCATTCCAAAAACCAGAACATAGGGCGATTTTGCAGCACCTGAAAAAGGTAGGTAAACTCCAATGAAGGAAAGAAAATGAAATCATGTATAGCACAAAAATAGATAATAGTAAGTAATAAAGTAGACGTGTATAGAACTTAAGCAGCTTCGGAAAGTAATACTATATTATCAATAATAACATATCCAAAAACTCTAATCTGTATATTTGACATTCAATTATGCTCCCTATATTTTCATATCAATATAAGTACAAACTTCAGTGTGTGTGAATGTACAGTGGGAATTTGTAGCATATAGTTAAAAGAAAGAAGATCAAGAAAGGGTAGACTCGATTGCACTTATTGCA